CCCCTTCCAGAATCCCCTCAACTGCAGCAGCGTTTCACTGGGCTGCCCTCAGCTGAGGGCTCTGCCCCTTGGCTTCCAGCTAGCAATTCCACGCTCCGCCGGCAGATGGTGCAGTGGTCCTGGCATTGCTCCGCACAGCTGGATGCCACTGACTCCTGAATGTCAGGGAAGCAATTTCTCTGCCCTGCCCCCCCAGGCAAAGGTTGTCTGGGGACAGCCGAGGGAAAGGACAGAACAAGTTAGGTGGGCCAGGACCGCTTCTCCCCCCTCCACTCAGCTTGCGCACTTCTGCCCAGGCCCTGGAGCTCCCCTGCTGCTGGGCAGAGAGAAAAAATATCGTGCACACACCCCTTCTCACAGCCCCACACACCGAGACCCTGCCTCTTCCCATGACATTCTCGCTGGCGGCAGACTGAGCACCAGTGTGTAAGGTGGGACCCGTGGCCACGCCCCACCCTGCTTCTGTTCCTACACTGGCAGCTGTTGCTGTTGCTGCTGCTACCTGGGCAAAGGGGCTCCAAGGGTCCCACCACCCCCTGCCCCAGAGGGGGGCCTCTCAGACGAGGGACTTCATGACTCCGGGGGAGCTTTCAACTGAAAGCACAAGGCCTGTGACAAGCCAACAAGTGATTCTGAACCAAAGAACGCAGGAGCCTTCCCAGGAGGAGGAGGAGGAGGAGGAGACCTGGGCCTTTGCCCTAAGAGGGCAGCCAGGCCGGCCCAACGCACGGCAGGGCAGGGCAAGGCAAGGCACGGCACAGCCCTCCTCAACGGTCCAGGGAGCTGAGCTGTGACTGGGAGGAAATCGAGGGAGCAGGCCAAGGCCTGACCAGGGCGGGGTGGATCCCGGGCACAAGCTGGTGCTGCAGCTGGGGAAGCAGCCGCCCATTTGCAGCTGTCCAAAGAGGCCACCTCAGACCTGAAAGGGGGGCCGGTGGGAGAGGCCCAGACGTCCGGGTCTCCACAGAAGGAGAAGCCAAGGAGAAGCCGGCCGGCCGGCCACCTTACCTGTCTGCCAGTGGTCCAGCTGCTGGCCCCGGGGCTGTGTCCATCCGCAGGCCAGGCCCTGGGTGAGAGCAGCTACGGTCAACAGTTCTTCAACTGGCAGCTTTAGCTGCTGGAGGGGACGTAAAGCGTGCCACTGAAGAACTGCTGCTGGGTAGCCAAAGGGGCCAGGAGCACCAGGCTGGGGGGGAGAGGGGCACTGTCAGAGGGGAGGGGAGGAGAAGGGCCGGCTCGCGCCTCCCCGCCCAACGGAAAGACCAGGAGGGCTGCCGGAACGACCGGTCAGCGCCCGTTTCCGCCGCAGCGCAACGAGAGTCATCCCACCCCTGCCTCGCGGGCAGGCG